GAATGCAATCAGCTCTTATTAGGAGCTTCATTCTCCTTATGCATATGTCAGGGCTCTAGGCATACCAGATAAAGAAAGAAGCCCAGCTCCAATGAAAGAATCCAGCCAATCCAGGCAATCATGGCATTGACACAAAACCAGTATGGTCATGGATAAGTTATTTTCTGCTTTGCAGAAGCAAATGACAAGGCTACTGAAGTGTAGCTCTTCAGTAACAGCACAACAGGCAACAGTCATTTTCATGGGCAGCTGGTGAAGGCCCAGCTTGGGAAGGCAAGCTCCAGTCCTGCACCTTCCAACCCAGGCCCTGCCCCTGGAGCCAAGCTCCGCCCGCCCCCAGCCAATCCTTCCTGGTCACTTAGAGGGCCAGGGCTGCCATGCTGCAACCCTGGCCCTGGTCCCAGTCCCAGCCTCCCTAGATGGCCAGGGGAGCCAGGCTTCTGCACTATGGCCCCAACATTCCTGGGTGGCTGGGGGACCAGGACTGTTGACTTTGCCTTCCTTACATTACTGGCCGCTCATGGTCATTCTACTACACTGCATCTATTGAGTCATACACTTTTTTTGCATCTTACTATGAAAAATACTATTATTTAGGAAGAAGCAGATAGCTATCACCATCACCTCTTTTTCTTTACATATGTTTTAGGAACTACTTGTGTCTCATGATTATCCTGCTGTAAGAATTCTTATTCTCTGTAACAAAAGCTACCGTATATACTCGAGTATAAGCCGAGTTTTTCAGCACAGTAAGTTAAATAAATTTTTGAAAGGCACTGCTGGATAATAATGTATGACTAGTATAAACTACCATCTTTCAATAAACATACATCCTAATCCCATAAAGATGTACAGAAGAGAATATATGTTGGCTCAACATGATAACATTTCTAGAGGGGATCTGTTTTCCTGCTTTTTGCATACAAAGTTTACTATTAAAAATAAGTGTTTACATAAAGGCAATCAACTCAATCATACTGTAAACAAATATAAGTTAAACATGAAAAGTGAAATATTTTTAAAATGTAGCTTTCTCTTCCCTATTTACTGTGTTTCCTTGTTGTATTTCCTTCGTCTTGGACAACGAAAGTCAATAAAACCTTTCCCCTTTTGATTAGAGAGAGTTCTATACTCTTAGTACTAGGATGTTTGGGTTCAAATATTACAAAATAAATCAGAATTATATTTGGAAATAAATAATTGGTTTTAAATTTTATAAAAGTTTGTTTTTACAAAATTTGTTACTTTTATTATTTATTTTGCAGACCACCTCAAGGTTCAAGCACATTGCCTGTTCTATATGTATTAGAGATCATGTCCAGAAGATTTTACAATTTAAAAAACACACAAAAAGACAATATAGTATATCTATTTTATAGAATGTTGAAGTTCAGCAAAACTAACTGGTGTATCCCAGGTTTCTAAATCAGTTTGTAGGCGGTTACAGGAACTGTACCCAGAAGAAGGATTTGCCCTTGTAGCCTCATGCCTTTTGATATACAACAGGTGCTGCTTATGAAGTACAGTATAAATGGAATCATAAAATCTGGAAGTGACTTTGAGGTGTCATCTAGACCAGGCCCCCGCAGTCATGGCAGGACCAAGCATTATCTAGACCCAGGATTTCCCAAAGTGTACATTAGAGTAGGGATGTTAAATATCGATTAATTGAATAGTCGAGTAACCTCATGAATTCTTATTGGTCACTCGAGTATTCTATAGTCCCAGAGGTGGAGCCAGCAGCCTGTGCAATCTGGCTCCACTCCCGAGGAGCCCCCTGCCACTCCACGGGCTGCTGCCTCTGTATCAGAGGCCGGAGGGGTGGGGGGCCGGGGGGACAGCTCCACTTGCAGACCTGATATAGGGGTGGCAGCAGCCCCTGTCCTGTCCGCCAGCCTACCTTCTAATACACTTTAAATGCACAGTCACGGAGGGAGGGTAGGTCTGGGACCCGTCGCAAGCTGGGACTGCAACAGGCTGCTGGTCAGCCTGCTAAAAAATGTACTGGTGCAGGGGAATGCGTGTAGTCTATAGCATTAACCTATAAGCTTTTACTTATTCGTTAGTCGATGACACTATTACATCTCTATTCCAAGAGCTCCACAAGAAAATATAAATGACAGTTGTATGAAGCAATGTTTTTTGATAACATTTTAGAAGACTGTTTTTATAAATAACTTCTTATACTGAGAACTATTGTGGCAATATTCAAAAAATAAGCTTGACACTGCAACACAAAATGAGAGTAGGGGATATATAAAGCTATGTGTAGCTTGATGAAACACTAAGCCTACAGCTGACTAAGGCGTGCTGCAGTAGCATATAGCAAGTTGTGAGCTATGTGAGCTGCAGGCCCAATGACATATATTAGATGTTTCAAACACCCAATTCAATTGACTGGCCTAGCTCTTTATAAGTCAAACATTTCAGAAGATATTTATATCCTGCTTTCTTTGGACCAAAGCCTGTTGCAGTACAGTGTTCTTCATGCTGTACTTTTGCTCAATGTTTTGCAATACATTGTAGTCTACCCTTATTACCAAATATCTTCTGCAAAAGCATTAGGGATGTAAAATTCCCTTTAATTGGTTAAGTTAAACATGGTATTTAACCAGTTAACTGATTAAAGACGGCATGGGGAAGAGCAGGGGCACTGCAGCCCTTCTGGGCTGAAATAGCCGCCCTGCCACAGGCAGGCACTGCTCCTGCCTGGCCAGAGCAATCTCTGCCCGCGGCCTCACCACAGACAGGAGCTGCTCTGGTTATCCCTGGGACAGGCAGGGAGCTGCTCCAACCCCCAACTGTTCTATTAATCTTTCACATCCCTAATGGGTAAATAGCTAAAAAAATAAACTTCGGCTGAAACAAATAAGTAAAATGTCGGAACAGGAAAACAGACATAATCACAGGCTTTTGTCACTGAAAAATCAAAAAAACAGAGTTGCTGAAGAGGAAACCACCCTTCTCCACCAGATTAGCAGCGGGCAACAAGAAATGAAAGTATAATGAGAATTATTTGTCTTTTGGATGTACTTGCATTGGAAATAAAGATGATCCTGACGCGCAGTGTGTCTTGTGCAACAAAGTACTTTCCAAAAGTTCTCTGATGCCTGCTAAACAATGAAGACATTTAGAAACAGATCATTCTGAACATATAGACCTGCACTTTTTCAAGTGAAAGCTTGACACTTTCAAATAGTAAAGTATCAGGGATGAAAATAGATAAATCAGACAATGAATACACAACAGAAGCATCCTACAACATGAACTACAGAATTGCACTCACTGGAGAAGCATATACAATTGCAGAAAAGCTCCATCAAGCTTTGTGCAAAAGATATTGCAATATATATGCCTGATGAGTATTCTAGTTTAAAAAAAAAAAAGTGGAAGCAGTACTGCTATCAAACAATACTGTTGCATGTCACATTCAAGAACTTGCTGCTGACATTGAGAAAGAGCTAGTAAGGGCTACCCCAAATTTCCAGGACCCTATAGGGGCTCCAGAGCCAAAAAAAATTCGGGAAAACCTAATCTAGATTAGCCCTGATAGGTGCCTGTCAAACCTGCTCTTAAGAATCTTCATGATGGAGATTTTTACAGCCTCCATAGGCAATTTATTCCAGTGCTTAGCCGCCCTGACAGTTAGGCAGTTTTTCCTAGTGTCCAACCTAAACTGCCCTTGCTGTAATTTAATCCAATTCCTTCACATTTTATCCCCAGAGATTAAGAAGAATAGTTTTCTCCCTCCTATTTGCAACAACCATTTGTGTGCTTAGAAGACTGAGAAGGGACATAACGGCTTTCATTTTCCAGATTAAACAAACCCAATTTCTTCAATCTTGCCTCTCAGGTCATGTTTTCCGGACTCTTAATCATTTGTGTTGCTCTTGCAATTCTGTTGCAATTTGTCTACATCTTTCCTAAAATATAGTGCCCAGAACTAGACACAGTATTCTAGCTGAGACCTAATTAATGCAGGGTAGAGCAGAAGTACTTTGTGTATCTTTCTTAAGACAGTCCTGCAAATACATCCCAGAATTAATCTTTTTTTTTTTTTGGCAAGAGTTACATTGTTGACTCATATTTAGCTTGTGGACCACTATGACTCCCAGATCCCCTTCTGCAATATTACTTGCTAGGCAGTCATTTCCCATTTTGTGTGTGCGCAACTGATTGTTCTTTCCTAAAAAAAAAAAAAAAGTACTTCACATTTGTCATTATTTAATTTCATTTAGGCCATTTCTTCAGTTTGTCCAGACCATCTGAATTTTAATCCTATCCAACAAAACACTTGCAACCCCTCCCAGCTTGGTATTCTCCACAAACTTCATAGGTGAACTCTCTTTATGTCGCTGTCTCAATAATTCATGAAGTTATTGAACAGAAGCAGAACTAGAACTGATCCATGCCAAAGCCCATTATTTATGCCTTCCAGCATGATTATGAATCATTAGGAAACCATTCCCAGAAAGTAGTTATCAACCAGTTTTGCATCCATCTTATAGAAACTCCAATGAGGTTGTACTTCCTTAGTTTTTTATGCGGTCATGCAAGATTGTTTCAAAAACCTTACTGAAGTCAAGATATAAACACATCTACCATTTCCCCCATCCACAAGGCTTGTTATCCTAGCAAAGAAAACTATCAGATTGGTTTGACACAACTTGTTCTTGACAAATCCATGCCAACTGCTTATCACCTTATTAACTTCTAGATGTTTGCAAACAGATTGCTTAATTAGTTGTTCCATGATCTCTTCTGGTACAGAAGTTAAGCTCACTGGTCAGTAATTCTTCATCCTTATTTCCCTTTTTCTAAATGAACACTATATTTGCCCTCTTCCAATATTCTGGAATCTCTCCTAACTTCCATGACTTGTCAAAAATAACAACTAATGGGTCAGATATTGTCTCAATTAGCACCCTGGGTATTCTAAGATGTATTTTATTAGGTTCTAGTGACTTGGAAGACCTCTAATTTGTCTAAATCATTTTAACTTGTTCTTTTCTATTTTAGCCTTTGAGCCTAACTAATTTTCATTGACACTCCTCACATCAGAGTTCAATCGCCAGCAACCTACTTAGTAAAAACCAAAACTAAGAAATCATTAAGCATCTCTGCAATTTCCACAGTTCCTATTAATAACCCAGCTCCCCCATTAAGAATATGCCCTATCCTGTTTTTGGACTTCCTCTTGTTTCTAATGTATTTGTAGAATGATTTCTTGTTACCATTTTGTGCCTTAACATTTCTAATTTTGCCCTCACGTCCCTGCTATTTGTTTATAATCATCCTTTGTAATCTCACCTCATTCCCACTTTTTGATTTCTGACAATCTGTGGTTCGAGCTCTCGCCTCTGTCCTATGCTCTTGGACCCCAAACATCCACTCTCCCGAACGGTGTCGCCCTCGCCCTCGCTTCCCTGCTCTGTACGTGACTTCACAGAGTGCTCTCCCGGGCGGGCTGCCCTTCCCAGCCGGCAGCCAGCGGGCCAGGAACCGCCCCCCCAACAGCGGCCGGGGCCGGCGCAAAGCGGCCTGGCTCTGGGGCGAGGGGGGATGAGACTGACCGGCCCCCGCCTCCAGCCCGGACAGGGCCTCACCTGCAGCAGCGGGGCCTCTCACATGGCGGGGCCCGGCCGCCGCTACCACCGACGCGACTTCCCTGCCGGGCCTCGGACGGGCAGCACCCGGAAGCGCTTCCCCACACTCCTGTGCACATTCGCTTCCGGGTCACGCGGCGCCGGAACTGACCCGTCTCCATTAAGGGCGCCGGGCTGCAACCTCGCCTAGAGCCGGCCTCGAGCGCGCGACATTCAGACCGTTGCCCGGGCGCCGTGGTAAGCAGGGCCCGCGTGCCAGCCCCGCCCTGCCCGACCAACCGCCCCAAGGGCATTAGACGCCCCCCGTCACCGCCCAGACCGCCCCATGGGCATTAGACACCCCCGTCACTGCCCCAAGGGCATTAGACGCCCCCCGTCACCGCCCAGACCGCCCCATGGGCATTAGACACCCCCGTCACTGCCCCAAGGGCATTAGACGCCCCCCGTCACCGCCCAGACCGCCCCATGGGCATTAGACACCCCCGTCACTGCCCCAAGGGCATTAGACGCCCCCCGTCACCGCCCAGACCGCCCCATGGGCATTAGACACCCCCGTCACTGCCCCAAGGGCATTAGACGCCCCCCGTCACCGCCCAGACCGCCCCATGGGCATTAGACACCCCCGTCACTGCCCCAAGGGCATTAGACGCCCCCCGTCACCGCCCAGACCGCCCCATGGGCATTAGACACCCCCGTCACTGCCCCAAGGGCATTAGACGCCCCCCGTCACCGCCCAGACCGCCCCATGGGCATTAGACACCCCCGTCACTGCCCCAAGGGCATTAGACGCCCCCCGTCACCGCCCAGACCGCCCCATGGGCATTAGACACCCCCGTCACTGCCCCAAGGGCATTAGACGCCCCCCGTCACCGCCCAGACCGCCCCATGGGCATTAGACACCCCCGTCACTGCCCCAAGGGCATTAGACGCCCCCCGTCACCGCCCAGACCGCCCCATGGGCATTAGACACCCCCGTCACTGCCCCAAGGGCATTAGACGCCCCCCGTCACCGCCCAGACCGCCCCATGGGCATTAGACACCCCCGTCACTGCCCCAAGGGCATTAGACGCCCCCCGTCACCGCCCAGACCGCCCCATGGGCATTAGACACCCCCGTCACTGCCCCAAGGGCATTAGACGCCCCCCGTCACCGCCCAGACCGCCCCATGGGCATTAGACACCCCCGTCACTGCCCCAAGGGCATTAGACGCCCCCCGTCACCGCCCAGACCGCCCCATGGGCATTAGACACCCCCGTCACTGCCCCAAGGGCATTAGACGCCCCCCGTCACCGCCCAGACCGCCCCATGGGCATTAGACACCCCCGTCACTGCCCCAAGGGCATTAGACGCCCCCCGTCACCGCCCAGACCGCCCCATGGGCATTAGACACCCCCGTCACTGCCCCAAGGGCATTAGACGCCCCCCGTCACCGCCCAGACCGCCCCATGGGCATTAGACACCCCCGTCACTGCCCCAAGGGCATTAGACGCCCCCCGTCACCGCCCAGACCGCCCCATGGGCATTAGACACCCCCGTCACTGCCCCAAGGGCATTAGACGCCCCCCGTCACCGCCCAGACCGCCCCATGGGCATTAGACACCCCCGTCACTGCCCCAAGGGCATTAGACGCCCCCCGTCACCGCCCAGACCGCCCCAAGGGCATTAGACACCCCCCGTCACCGCACAGACCGCCCCAAGGGCATTAGACACCCCCCGTCACCGCCCCAAGGGCATTAGACACCCCCCGTCACCGCCCCGACCGCCCCAAGGGCATTAGACACCCCCCGTCACCGCACAGACCTACCCACAAGCATTGGACACTCTTCCGTCACCGTACATATCTACCCAAAAGCATTGGACACACCCCAGTCACCGCACAGACCTACTCAAGGGCATTGGGCACAGCCCAGTCACTGTACAGACCTACCCAAGGTCATTGGACACACCGCAGTTACCACATAAAGCTTCCCAAAAGCATTGGATACAACCCAGTCATCATGCAAACATAACAAAGGGCACTGGGCACTACCCATTCCCTGCACAAACATACTCAAAGAAATTGGGCACAGCCCAGTCATTGTGTAAGCTTACCCAAGGGCATTGGGCACAGCCTAGACACCTCACAAACATTCCAAGGGCATTGGGCACAGCCCGGTTACCGTATAAACTTACCCAAGGGCATTTGGCACAGCTCAGTCACCGCACAAATGTGGGACTAGTGCAAAGGTGCAGAGAAGCATGTGTAGGGTTAAGGCAGAGTTGGGGAGCAACTGTTCCTTGATCAAATAGAGCACCTCGGGCAGAGAGTTGGTTTGTATATTATGTATAATTTCAGCTTTGGGGTGAGAATACACTTGCAGCAGCCTTTCATTGAGGAGTGGTATGAGCTAGGGATGTTAAAAAACAGTTATTGTTGTAACTGTGTAGCCGTTTAAAATTGCAGTGGTTACACACTGGCTCCCTGGGAGCAGGGACAGCAATCAATGCTTATCGGTTACTTGTTTAAACCATTACTCTCTTACATCCCTAGTTTGAACAGTTAGTTCTGCTGTCCCCTGTTGGGATGCTTTATGTCAGACTGGACTCCCATAAGAGGCAAAGCAATTACACATGTGTTCTATATAAGGAATGTGGCTGGCAATAAGAGGCTGCTGAGAAGAGCATTAAACAGTACTCAAAGTTTTTCAGGTGTTCTCTGAGCTATCCAATTTCTCATATTTGTTCTGTGGTAGGCAAGTATGAAGTTGAACTTCACTCGTGTTCTGATATAAAATCATTCACAATACAAATCTGAATGAGAAGGTACGACTACCCAAGAGGGCTAAAGCCTAAAGAAGCTAAGCAACTTGAGCTACATCAATTGCATAGCTTAAGTCAACATAGCTTATTTTGGCATTTGGCACTATCTACACAGCAGGAAGTCCAAGAAAGAGCACTCTTCCTCCGACTTCCCTTTTTTCATAAAATGAGGATTACAGGAGTCAGAGTAAGAAGTCCTCCAGCTTGACATTATGTTGAAATAACTGCTTGTAGTGTAGATGTGGACTTTGTTATTTTGGAATAATGTCAGTTATTCCAAAAATACACTGCTGCGGAGACTTACCCAGAGAGAAGACCATATTAAAGAGTTAGGCCCTGATTTTGCAAGGAACTTGTGATTAGTGTTCCCTATAAGCTGTGTGCTTTGACTGCCACTCAGGAGAGATTAGAGTGCCACCCAGCTGCTTAGCAGAACACCACTGGCCACCAGAATGTGTTTTTGTGGTGGTGCACATGCACACATGCCTCAGTTCATATTCAATTTATTCTGCACATGGATTGAAAAATGTAAGGAAACATTACATCCTCAAGGCCACAGAGGCTTGTTGGCCCCTTCTGGGAGCAGTGGTAGAGCCTTGTGTGGATACAAATGTCTACCTGAGGATAGACATTGGCATCTGCTGATCCACAGGGCTCTGCTCCTGGGAGAGGCTGTGGCCAAAGGAAACAAGCCTGGATCTAGGAACCAGCACCTTGGGCCGGCAGCTTCTCTCAGCTCTGCAGCTGCACTGCCCCTGGCTGCGTGGCTCCATTGCCCTGAGCCCTGCTGCTGTCTGCATCTCCTCTTGGGTCATACAGCGCCACTGGAGGTGGTACAGCCACACAGCCAAGAGGAGTTGGCAGTGTGGGGAGCTGGCTCCTGGCTGGGCTCTTGTCCTTTGGCCGCAGTGTCTCCAGGAAGGAGAGCCTTGCAGATCAGGGGATACTCATGTCTATCTGCAGATATCTGTATCTGCAGGTACACATTTGTATCTGCACAAGGCTCCAGCATGGGGCCAGGGCAGCCTCGCTGTGCTACCAACCTGGAGTCTCTAGCAGTAAGTGTTGCCTGGCAGGAGACCACACCACAAACCCAACCCCTTCCATAGTCAACACCCCTCATGCACTGCTGCCCTAACCCTGATTCCCCCTCCCAGGGCCAGTGCCCCAAATCCCTGCTCCAGCCCTGACCTCCCTTCCAGAGCCACCACCCCATACCCATTTCTGCACCTCAGACTCCTGCCCCAGCCCTGACCCTCCCATAGTCAGCACCCAAATCCCCTCCTGCAAAAAAAAAAAAAACCACAGGGAAAAAATTCTCATGAGAAAAAAAGAAGGGAGACCAAAGTTGTTGAGCAAAAAAAAAAGGACCCGAGAGTTGTTAAGCAATAAACAAATAAATTGTTTTTAAAAAACAGCATGGCCCTTTAAGAAACGCTTTGGAGGCTTTTGGGCCCTAACAGGCTGTCAGTGGTCGTCCGCCATCTTGTCTCCCTGCTCTGGGCTGAACAGCTCCCCTGCGGAACCAGATAAGCACCATCTGGCCGGGAAAAAAAATCAGAAAATACTGGACATTTTAGGTGTCCAGTATTTTCTGAATTTTTTTACCAGAAAGGAGGCGAAAATACCGGACTGTCCGAGTCAATAACAGATACCTGGCAACTCTAACACAGACCCAGAAAATAAATCAAAGCTTATATGGCCATGGAACCACTAAAACAACCCAGCACTGCCACGCTATAATAATTATGTTTATATAATGTATATGTCAAGTGTTAAGAGTCAGTAACTAAAATAATACAAATGGCTGGGAATATGGTCAACATTTTGACTTCCCTTTTATCTTGTTGTAGTTAGCTTTCATTCTGCAAGGTGCTTTCCTGACTTACTAAATGTTCTCTGATTAAAGATACTAACATTTAAAAAGAACATTCCTTGGTGCTTTGTTAGTTGGTGACTGAAGCGGATTTGGGATTAGATGAAAACATTCCTGTTTTTCTCTTTTGAAAAGTAGCACTATAGTCTAAATATAAATTGGAAACTAGCAATGGCTGGGTAGATCTCAATTCTAGATGCTGATCTCCTTCATGGGTTAGGCTGCCATCTGATCTACTCTTGTTCTCAGCTATCTGTTATCAGGTAAAGCAGAATTTGCTGCTGAAATAAAGATTTTGCCCTAGGTGACTAAGCTTAGTGGTATTCTGCTAAAATGGGCATCAGACAGTGTTGTGAGAAACCCAGATTGGAGGGATTCTTTTTTTGCCAGGAAAATAAACAAGGGCTTGTTTTTCATTTTTTAATCGGTGACTGTATTTTGGTATTAGAACTATTACGCTCTCTTGTAAATCCAATAAAATCTGAACTATTCTAAAAGTTAAACCAGACATATGATCAGAACATCAGCGTTCTTCTCATGCTATAAGAAAACGGAGAACTAC